CCCCCCGGCGCCCCCCCCCCGACTCGCCCAGGCCGGGCGGGGGAAGCGGCTCGGGGCGCCATCCAAAGTTTGCAAGCGCACAAAGGCGGCGCGGGGTGGGCTGCGGACCCCGCGCGACCCTCCCCTTCTTCCAGCCGGGGAGGGGGGGGCGGTCCCCGCCGGTTCCCCTCCCCAACCCCGTGCGCCTCACCTGGCCCGGGGGGCTTGTAGGACATGCGGGCGCCGGGAGGCTCCGGGGCCGGCACGCCCGGCGAGGTCCGCGCCACCGCGCCGCCTCCTTGGCTCGCGGGCTGCCTGCGCCGCTGCCGGAGACCCCCGAGGAGGAGGAGGAGGAGGAGGAAGAGGGGGCTAGGGGGCCTGGATCCCTCCGGCCCCGCCGCAGCCGCCCATCCCGTCGCCGCCGCCGCTGCTCTCGCCTGCCCCGCCGCGCTCCCGGCTCGGCCATGCGGGGGAGGGAGGAGGGGGCGGGGAAGAGGAGGAGAGAAGAGGAGGTGGAGGTGGAGGAAGGAGGCGGGGAAGAGGAGGAATAAGTGGAGAGGAAGGGGAGGAGAGGGAAGGAAGAAGAGGCGTAAGAGGGAGGAAGAGGAAGGGAGAAGAGGAAGAGGAAGGAAGAAGAGGAGGTGGAGGAAGAGGAAGGAAGGAGGGGAAGGGAAGAGGAGGAAGGGGGAAGGAGAAGAGGAGGGAGGAAGAGGAGGGGAGAAGGGGGAAGAGGAAGAGGGGGTGGAGAAGAGGAGAAATAAGTGGAGAGGAAGAAGAGGAGAAATAAGTGGAGAGGAAGTGGAGAGGGAAGGAAGAAGAGGCGTAAGAGGGAGGAAGAGGAAGGAAGAGGAGGCGGAGGAAGAGGAAGGAAGGAGGGGCGGGGAAGAGGAGGTGGAGGAAGAGGAAGGAGGAAGAGGAGGGAGGAGGCAGGGAAGAGGAAGAGGGGGTGAAGAGGAGAAATAAGTGGAGAGGAAGAGGAGGCGTAAGAGGGAGAAGGGGGCGAGGAGGAGGAGGAAAAGTTGGCGGGCCTTTTTCCCAAGGGTGGGAGTGGGAGGGAATTCCTCTGGGTGAGGAGGGGGACGGGGACTGGACGGTTTATACCAGGGCTGGCAGGAGAGGGGTTGGTTGGTCGCCATCCTGCTGTGTACAATCCGTTTCCTTCCTTCCTTCCCTTCTTGTTTTCTTGCTCCTTTGCCTTTTTTTCTTCTTCTTTTTCCTTTCTTGTTGCAAAGGGAAGGAAACATCTGTTTGGATTACCTGGAGTTCCAAAAAGCAGAAACACCCAGGCTGGAAATCTCAATATTTACAACGGGTGCAGGGTGGTAGCCAATGCAGCGCAAGGACTCTGTTTTTGTCCATTGGTGGAGGGGAATTGAAGGCCGGAACAGGATCTCTCTATAATCAATGCATCCCGTTGCTGGTACCTCAAGGGGCCGCATCCATTTTGAAATGGAGCCACTGCTTCTTAGGCGACATCTGAACAATTAAGAGGAGTTGAGGGTTCAACCAGCGCCTGGATTCATACATTGTTCTGTGCCTTAACTATATCTGGGCTTGGCTTTGTGTGTCCTGTTAAAAGAGGTCCATCAAGGTATAAAGCGGGGGTCTCCACTCTCCAACTTCGGCAACTTTTAAGATTGGTGGACTTCAACTCCCAGAATTCCTCAGCTACTCATGCTGGCTGGGCGGATTCTGGGAGTTGAAGTCCAACGTTGCCAAGGTTGGAGACTCCTGGTATAAAGTCACATCTTCTTCAGGTTGATGTTCTTCAGCTTGAGCTCAACCATCTAGCCTTCAAGTCCTTTACCCCTCTGGAATACCTGTGGGACAGGATGTTCACCTCTGCCTGGGACTACAAAAACAGAACACCAGGCCAGCTCCCAAGAAATGCGCCCGAGACCTGGGCCTTTGATTCCCAGGGGAGCAGTAGGCATAGAGCAGGGGTCCCCAAACTTGGCCACTTTAAGACTTGTGGACTTCAACTCCCAGGATTCTCCAGCTAGCATTGCTTGCTCTCTTGCAATCCCTTCCCCTGCAATCTCTCTCCACTTTAGGAGATTAAGAGAGAGAAAAAGCAGGCATGGCTGACTGGGGAATTCTGGGAGTTGAAATCCACAAGCTTTAAAGTGGCCAAGTTTGGGGATCCCTGGCGTAGAGAAACTCCCTTCTCCAACCTGGTGCCAATATGTTGGACTCAACGGCGTGTCCTGGCCACCATCTCCCTTCACCACCTAGAAAACCCCAAACCCAAGGGACGACCCCCCCCCCAAGTTTTTTGCAACAACCTCGAGTTTCCTGCAACGTGTGAATCCCAGGGAGAGGTTTGATGCAAGGAAAAATTGGGTTTTAAGGATGGCTGGGGAATTCTGGGAGTTGGAAATCCCCCCAAGCCTAGTCCTTGAGAAGAATATAAGGACTCGGAAGGGGAAAAAGGCACACAGTTCTTGGACCCATGTTGTGGTTTTTTTTTTTTCCTCTTTTCTTTTTATTGTTAAGCTTTTCATAAGCCGGCCCCCGGGCATCTGTTGGAAGGGCCGTGTATAAATAAAAAGGAAAAAAAGAAGTGAAGTCTTTCTGCATTCAAAATGGAGCAAATAAATTCACTCGCAGAGCTGAACAAGGCCGACATTTCCCCAAATGTACGAAATGTGAATGCTCACCCAAGCCCAGGGTACCCCCCCCCCCCCAAAAAAAAACCTTTTCCCCTTTGGACACGAGGAACATGGCTCGTGACTGGCAATAGGCAAGCAGAGCAGAGCAAGCGGGTGGCATCTCCGAGACAGCAGGGGAGGAGGGGCCAAAAAAGGCAAGAATGGTAGACCATGCAGAGTCTCAACGGTGGGACCCTCCTCCTCCTCCTCGGAGAAGGGGGCTCCAGGCTCGCCTGGCAAAAAACGCTCGACCGGATTCTTACAATGCGAAGATCCCACAGGGCCACCATCAACCAAAACAGGACTCTGAAGCTGGTTAGAACAGTAGTATACTCTCTCTCTCTCTCTCTCTCTTTTTTTTCTTTCTTTCTCTTTAATTCTGATACCTGCAAGATCTCAGCATAACCTTGCAGGGCGGGGTGGACAGGTTTATACAATCTCAAATGTTTCATAGTGCAACCTGTGCAAGCAAGAAAAATGACAAACATTGTCCTTCACTTATATAAACATCTACTATTATAGGCAAAACAAAAACAAAACAAAAAACAAAAAAAACCTTACCCATATTCTTAGATAAGTGACTATTCACATTTTGTACATATACAGTTTTTTTTTAAACAGTTCCAGGATAAACTCTACAATGTCTTACAGACGTAAAACAGGAAGTATTTAAGTTATGGGGCAACAGGAAAAAAAAATTAAAAAAAGAAAACCACCCAGCACAGAAGCTAGGACTCTCATGTTGGGCTGCCTCCTCCTCATCTAGTCTACAGCTCAAGTAAAGTATATTTAACAACAAAAACGTAAAAAGGGGGACTGCGGTGGGAATTGGAAAAAAATAAAATTTGTACTTTATAGTTTCCTGAAAAATAAAGGAAACTTCGGAGAGAGAAGGGGTGGGTGGGGAAGGCCCTTTTCAAAGCCATCTTGCATTAGGAACACCATTAACCTTTTTTTTTTTTAAAAAAAGGAACTTCTTTAAAAAAAATTAAGATGGTTTCATTGTACAAGCAACATGGATACGCAAAGCCCAAAAACAAAGGAAAATGGGAGGAGGGGGCTAAAAAATATCCAAGGAAGATTCAAATATATATATAACCTATAGAAGAAATCTGGAAAAAAATACAGTCACCGGGGCACCCACCTTAAGAGGGGGCGGGGAAGAAAAAAGGGGGGTGGGGGTGGAATCGAAATGCAATTCTGAGGTTCAGACCGTCCCTTTCTCTGGCTTTCCGTACATCGAGACATGATGGGCAGCCCCCAAGTTGACTCCGCCTTAAAACACAGGTTGCAAACATCTAAGTTTCCATGCTGCTCCTTTAAATAAAATGTACTTTTCTTTAATATAATTTGGGACCTCTGTTGCGGCCAATATTTATATTTTTTTATATATATATATATATCTACACATACATATATATACAGTTTTTCCAAGTAGGACATCTCCTGCAGCATAGCTCCGATGTTCCTGTGTTCAACCCTGAGCGTCAAATGAGCAAATGGAAGGAAGGGAGGGAGGACAAGCAGGTTCGGGGGAAATCTTCCAAGCGTCTTCCCAAACTGACCAGGTGCGGTTGTCACTTAAGTAGAAGGATGTGTGCTGATGTGTGTACTAAGCAGGGCTACAAAAACTCCGGAGGAATTATAAAAAATTAAAAATAAAGAGATGATGATGATGATATGTGACCGCTGTAAAGCAAAGCTGGCCTTTCCGTTTGACCTCTCTCTCTTCTGTGCCTCTTCCCTTCAGCGGCTTTCTAAAGTCAGCGTGGCGGAACTGAAAGCTAATTCTTTGGAATCTGTCCCTGATCATTCAAACCAAGAAAAAAAGTGAAAATAAAAAAATTAAAATAAGCTGGGAGGAGGAGGAGGAGCTGGAGCCCCCAAAAGAAATAAAAAAATCGAAAGCGCAACGCTTAGGGGTGGTCGAGGCGAAATACCACAGGGATCCGTCTCATGCGTTGTTGAAGTGGGCGATGCTCTGCGGATGGTGCTGTTGCCAGATCTGTTGCTGCTGGACGGCCAGCTGTTGCGACTGATCGGACGTCGACAGGAGGTTGACGAGGGGAGACACGCAGTTTGCTGGAATGATCAAGCCTGCAACACAGTTAAGGGGCAGGTAAGGTCAAGGAGCTGAGGCTCTCTCTCTCTTGCTTCACTGGCCAACCTTTATCTGGGTTAAGCTGCAAGCCTCAGTCCGGTTCTGTGGACTTCTCGGACAGTGTTTTTTTTTCCATTCATGGGTGGGACTTCAATGCCCAGAATTCCTCAGCCACAGCAACTCCCACTTCTGGGAGTTGGGGGTCCACCCAAGCTGGCCTGGGGGATTCTGGGAGTTGGAAGTCTCTACATCTTAATGTTGCTGAACTTTTAAAAACATTCTTTAGTTTCTTCAAAAGGAAAATAAATACATAAAAGACTTTTGTATCGTGCCTGTTTGCTTCCAATTTGCAAAAGCTGAACCAAAAGATTTGGGGGGCAGGGGGGTTTGGCTCAAGGGGTTTCACCATTCCCCTCTCACACTCAGAGGGGGAGCGGAGTGGCAGGTTCAAACACACAGCGCAGGGAGATGGTGAGGACTGGGAGGGCTGGGTTAAGCATAGAGAGATGTTTGTGCCAGACGTAGGAAGGTGGGCCTTCCCTGCCATACTTGCCTACAATTCTCTGGCCGTCCTCGGTTCGCAAGCGAACAATTTGCATTTTGACATTCGTGCCGCTCACGGAGGCAAGGACCCCT